TTTTACACACTACAGACTAAAACTTCAAAAGTATGTAATTAGTTTTAATATTATCATGTTGTTGTTAAACTTTTCATTGTTATCTCAAATTTTGGGAAAGGATGACCCAGAATTTGGGCCTGGTTAAAAGAGAAGCTTTATATAATATTTGCAGAATATATATTTGCATTACTGTTTGTTTATACTATCATCTCACAAATAATGCCATATGTATTGAAGACACATTTAAAGAGAATTACAGTATAGCACTTAATTAGCTGTATTTTGTTTCCTACAGCCTTAGAATGGATTATAAACATAAAATATAAATTCAGATATCTCAAAGCTTTTTTTGTATTTTTCCAAAAGTGTATAATTCCACACTACAAACACATTTAATCAAGGAAATGAAGACTGTAACTGTTTAAAACAGAATTTGAAAGAGATATAGTTTTGAAAATATCAATTTAATTTTGGGAAATGTGTCAGAGATGCAGGAGCTGGTGAAATTGTCATGTGACACATTTGCCACAATTGCACTTACTGTACCTCTTCTTCTGAAAGAGTCATGTGAACACAATGATAATGGGATCTATCCCATTAGAGGAGTTACAAAGGAAATCTCTGCTCCTATAAAACGCTTATGTGAGCTGACATTAGGCTCAGGACTTAAGTTACCCTAAAGCTCATCGACACTCACGTAATTAGATAAAGGCACTCAGAGCTGGTCAGTCCCGGACAAGTATTAGTGCAATTCTACACTGTTGGGTTTGTGTTATACTGTAAGTGTTCTGCACCAATATCAGTAAAATACTGAGATGATAATGACTATAGCCATAAATGGACTGGAGGACTGACACTGATGTTAACATGAAGTTTTTTTATACAACAGTGAAAGAAAACATAGTTAGTTATTCAATACCTGTACGGTTCCCCAAATGGTCAGAAGTTGGTTTTATATTGGTTAAGCCATTTCTACTAGTCCATAATGTTTGTGAGTCTTTGCTATGTGACATATTACAGTAGCCATTCTCAAAGTTGCATCTTTCAGAAGCAGAGCCTTTAAAGAAACAAAAAAATATTACTTTGCATGTACTGTATGTAGCATTTTTCATCCCAAAGGATTCCAATATACAGTACCTTTACATAGAAAGGGACGCATGTCATCCAGTATTAAAACACCAACCTAAGAGACAGGAGTCATTAAGGCCCAAAAACCCTCTAAACAGCAAATCAGATGTATGTGTTTAGAATTGTACAGTCATGTTATATTTTAAATGGTAACTAGACTATACAGTATGTCTTATATGTTTATATAACATATAAAATATGTTATATTTTCAAGAAATACGATTATTGGACTTGGGCCGTGTCCCAGTATGCACACTTGCAGTCTTGCGCCCATTATATGTGCATTCTCGCTGTAGTCTGCAAGGGCTCAGGGTGGTCCCATTTCTAAATTTGTGTTTCACAATGGTTCTCCCCTAGTGTACCCTTAATGCGCCCTTCTCTGAACGGAGTTTGCTGAAGGAAATTACTCCAGGTTCTTTGCAGAATGGTAACATTGGTGACATTTCAAGCAGAAAGAAGTTGCCATGGAGAATAAAATATTCATAAAATTAAATTAGACAGTTTTAAAACTCATAACATTTTATTTGAAAACAAAATTTCATGAGATTACTTTAGATTCATACTCAATGTATTCTAGCAAGGTTTTGACATAAAGCTTTGATTTCGTTGACCCATTTCGACTGATGAATATTTGTTTACCTGCAGTGTATTTTTTATAGGGTATAGCCAAGGTATACTGAGGTATCGCCAAGTTTACCGTATTTAGTTTACTTTGAATAAACGTGAATGAACATGGTACTGGGACAGACATTATGAAATGTATTTAGTAGTACAAAGCTTTGAATAAACAGCCAAGGTTTCCTAAGTTTAATTCACCTGTTGTGAGTTGAGCCAGCTCAACATGAATGAACATGCTGTGTCACTACTTTTGTGCAGGGATAGACAAGATGACATGCATATTCAATCAAACTGCGGGCACACAATGAAAAATGTACTCTGAAATGTACTCTGTAAATTCTGGCGACATGCACTTAGCCACTGGAAAAGAAGTAACAACTACGGACATCATTTTGACTGTGAGCCGTGCAACAAATAAGTGATGTCAGGCAACGGTTTGCAAGTTGACTGCATAAGGCAACTTCCTTTAAGGCAATAACTGCATGACATATCTGACCCATTGAGCACACCATACGTATATTGTCATTTAAGATGTTCTTTCGTTTACTGTAGATATTTTCAGTTTGTCTGTATTCTTGGTGCATTTTAACCTCAGGTTTTTCTTCAGGATGTAAAACATAGGCTCAATTGGAATTAAATCTGGACACTGATTTAGCCAGTCTAATATTTCCCACTTTTTTTCTGTCATGCTGCATAGTGAAGGATATCCCAATACCTTAGTCCATTAGCTAATACATTAGCAGACAAAATGTTTCTGTGAAATTCAGAATTTGTTCTGCTGTTGCCATCAAAAGAAATGAGTAATACAGTATACTTTTTGGTAGAATTTTAGGTTTATCTAGAGAACATCACTTTAGAAAAGCAGGAGAAAACAGATTTATTCTAAAAGAAAGTGTGTGAAGCCCTAAGTTAAGAAATAACATGAGAATGACAGTTTTGCTTACTTCAATCCATCATTTAATAGAGTTTTCCATGCTTTATATTAGAGAGCTTCAAGTTTGACAGTCTGATCCTGATAAACTGTGTTCATGTTCCAAAGGTCATGCTGCATCTTCTAAAGCTTAACCTTCACATTAACTTAAATAGTTTTTCGCCAATCCATGTTTTAAAACTAAGCCCCTCTTGCCTTTTCCTTATTAATATTGTATTTTTACTATGTGTGGAACACTAACGGTGTCACAGGAAGACACATTATCATGCATCATAAATTAGAGCAGTTAAAGCTGAAAGGTTTTCATCATTTCTGAATGTCAAAGAATGACAAAAGTGGGTGTAGGTCAGCTGCTTAGAGGACTATGTCAGCTTTAAGTATTCATATAATGGTGTTTTTGTCGGCATTTGCAGTTTTTTCCTTTTTGTGTCCGCTTTCTTCCTTTAATGAAGGTCTCCAAGTCTTCCTGGTGCAAACGATAGGGTGCATGACAATCATTTTGTTCATAGGTATCTAACAATGACCCATCAGTCAGAGATGACATGTTAGATTGTTTACAGATGCTGAACAGGACCTGGAATGGGAGCTCAGATAAGAAGCACAAGGGACAGAGGAGGATGGGACACTGCATCGTCAGCAATACAGTATACTGTGTGGTCAGTTTCCATATTTTCCCCCACTCGTTAGGTTTGCTTATCCCCTGTGGCACTCCTGCCCCTTTAAGTCCAGAAGTTCAGAACTGAGCAGGATGTATAAGCCTTGGGAGAAGGGGCTTAAAGAAGAACTCAGAGAGCAGCAGAGGTTGGCTCAGAAAACATAAGAATTCAGTAGGCTCAGAAATTGTAGGGAATAGTAGGGAATGGGGGATATAATCGAACATTCAGTATGCTGGGGACTGTTGGGACAGTGGAGAATACTATGGGCAATTGAAGAACAAACCAAAGTTTTGTCTCCTTCTTTATCTAAAAAATGTGCCCAGGACAGATATTTATTTGTCCCTCCTATGCTGCTTATTTTTGCAAAACTGATTTCTATGTTCTGTCTGAACATAATCAACCTTTTCACAGGGGAATATGTAACTATGATTGTACAAAAATTGGAAGGTTTTAAGCTTCACAAAGAGATTTATTTTGAAATGCCAACATATATATATTAATATTTCATTAAGTGAAATCATCTGACATCAAGACAGAAATCTGTTCCCCTGAACAAGTTGAAAGCTCTGTTGTATGCAAAATTGTATTTAATCATACATTCTCCTCATTGATTAAGTTAAAAGAAAATTATATTTTCCAAGGGCCATACATATTTTGTTTCTGTAGTAGGTGCTGTACTTTTACTACAAATATATAATCTCAAAATATTTTTGATATAATTTCAAAATAAACAGAAAACATTTACAAAGGAAAAAATAAATTAATATGAATACACTGGTAATATGAAAGTTTCTACACCGATAAAGTTTTTCCAGACCTTACAATATTCATCCTAATGCCACTTCAAATTAAAAAATCTTGGATAATATAGTTACTCTCATACTGTCTGAAAAGACTGAAGATGTGACACGGCGTTGACAACTAAAATTGTTTTTTTACCATTTTTACCATTTTTTTACCATTTAAAAAAGCAGTTATGAGCAATAAAAATCATCAGCTGGAGCAAAAACCAAATAGCATTTGAAGCCTAGCGTTTAGCATTTAGATCTTGGCAGATGTGACCAATAAGATTAACTCAACAGAATTCTGGCTTCGTAATTCAAAATGAACCTACACGTAACACCAAACAGGTGTTTAAAGAATTTTTAATGGTCTAAGGGTAACTATGAAAAAACAAACGATAAAACTGGTATACTCACAGTCATTCTCATCACTGCTGTCCCCACACTGGTCAGTGAAATCACAGATGCTGTCATCAGGGACACAAGAGCCTCTTAAACACTGAAACTCCCCAGCTGAGCAGGGCCTGGGTGCTGGAAAAGCCAGGTAGTATATGACACACAAAATACACCAATCACGTTGCATTAGAAAGGGCATTAGAAAATAAAAAACAGCAATATTGGAACACTGTGGTAGACAGATATACGCCACAAAAACAGACTAGAAACAAAAACTTTGATTCACTAATGCTCCGTGACAGTCTGACGCACTACTTTATAAATGGTAACAATGGTGCAAAGTTCTTCCTACAATAAAACAGACCTAAATGTTTACCGACACAAAGGTGAATTGCTAATCTGCACCACTAGTCAATAAAAATGTAATTGCTAAGTGAATGGCTAATAGATTTGTTCAAGGGATTATGCTTTCTGTGGAGACTGATTATTAGGAGAGATACATTTTCTTTTTTTTATCAATGTGTGTATTAAAATTGCAATAGTTGTAGGTCCATTTTATTTCAGAATATAATATCCTGGGAGAAGAGAAGTGCTTGCTGTCCATGCACTATACAATAACAGGACATATTCACACCTTTCATATGAAACAATCTAATCATTAATTAATTTAATCAAATAACTATTTAGTCCAAACCTACACCATCAGAGATATATTTTTTAAGTAGAAATAAGTAAAGAGAAATGCAGATAATAGATAATTCATCAGGTGAAAACAGGAAGCAACAGCTTCAGGGGTTAGTGTACAGTATATCTGATGTCTGATGGAAGACAAACCCTCTTAGTTGTGCTGCATTAGAGTAAGAAGTGAAGATGATATCTAACCAGTTGTAGAACCTGTAATTGAAGTTGAGTAAGCATCATTGCTGCAGCTGAAGAAGGCTCCACAGCCGAAACGTTGTGTTTTCTTTCTCCTCTTTTCAGCATGGAATAAACCTATTACTTGTATCATTGCTGCATGGCTTTTTATAGAGGAACTTTGTAGTTACAACTCAAACAAGAATGGAGGTTATAAAATAAAGAGCACTTTTTTTGGCTGCACTTGTGTGTCTGTTTACCAATACTCACCTATCAAAAGATTGAAAATATATTGCTGGTAAGTGTCATGGATAGGAGACCCTTCAAACAAGACTTATTCTTGCTTAGTTCACAACTACACTAACTAGCATTGTAAAGGATGCTAGGAACCTCCTTTCTTTGCCACTGGTTCTATTCATCTCCCAGATTCACCAGTGATTGCAGACACAAGTACCCTTTTTATTTTCTATTGGTTAACAGCATTCAGCACTAAACATTCACACACATTATATAAAAACAATTCTAAAAGACATGCATTCCAGACTGGCCACAAACACCCCACTGGACCCCAGTTACCCAACAAATGCCTCAAAATAGTGCAGTCCAGCAGTGCTGTCCTCTGTCTAGTTCCTTTAATGGTTCTTAGCCATATTCTCCAGTCCTGGCTGTCTCAAACAATATGGTTCCCTCATGTTCTCCCCTACATTGTTTTCTCAAGAGTTTTTAACAGCAAATGTAATAGAATATATTTGTGAACAAATCTGTTGTGATACAAAAGGCTAATCGTTCACTCAGAGATTACAAGAAAAAGAAATATTAACATCAGGGTTAAAATACATTGACTATAACATGTTATGGCCTAGTTTGTAATTTGTATCACTCTCATATAATTACATCAAATTCATATTCTAAGATACAAGTAAATATGCATTTACTATCATGATGTTATCAACAGGGCCCTCACCAGAGCCAAAAACAGCTCACTGATCATCAACTCAATCAGGAACTCCTGGCCTCACAACCGCATTCCTTTGGTGTTTCCTTAACACACTTTCTATACCAAGGACCATTAATGACAACCTTCCAGGATTATCCCTCCATCGGTACCCTTTTTTCTGCCCCATCATCTCATATCGCTGACCACCTAATCTACATAACATTCTTGTTCACAGATCCTTGACCATCCTCAGCAATCATCCACACCAGGCACTTTCCCCTGCAACAGAACTCGCTGCAGCAACCTTATTTACTGCATCTCCAACAGAAAATACCCATCTATCTACTGTACATTTGGGGAAACAGGAAGGAGACAGGGAGACCACTTCAAAGAACATGTCAGGGCTAGTTTCTCATTTCACCTCTAACTGCCATGATCACACCGATCTATCTGTCTGCATTCTCAAAGAAGGGTTTCTTGACTCCTATTACAGAAAGAAACCCGAAACCAAAATTACCCTGAAACTAGGATCACACCTCACCCCTTCTCTCAATGACAAACTTGTTGCCTTCTAATCCTCTCTATTTATTTGCAGGTTTCGACTTTACACCTCTCTCGACTTCGCACCAGCTGAGTGACCACTCTGCCTCCCCCTGCTCCCGCCTCCTCTACGCTCCTGGATTTGGTTCTCCTTTGCTATATCAGCTACTGACTTCCCTCTCTTTCTCACACCCAAAGAAGACTCCACAGCCAAAATACTGTGTTTTTTTCTTGTCTTTTTGGCATGGAATAAATCTTTACTTGTTCCTAAGCAAACTAAAAATAAGTTTGGTGCCAGCTTTTAACATGCAACATCACAGCTGATGATTAGTTGAGGGTGTTATCAGGCTTGTTTCTGGTACCCACCCTGCAGGTCCCTCATTGGTGGATATTCCTTTGGATGATAAGCAGTGACCTAGAACCCATGGTCTTGGGAAGAAACAGGCTACAGTCTCACCGAAGTCATCTGTTCTACATATCATTAGATGATTCAGCATTGTATACAGCTTTACAATGTCCCTTATCACAGGGGCCTCTCAACCACTGCATTTACTCAGAGGCACCAGGCTCCATTTACTCAAAGGTACTGTACCACTAGACTAACGTGCATAAATACTAGAGTAAGACAATTATAACTCTATGATCTTCCGAAACACTGCTGTATCGTATTCTTTGCTGGAGAGTTTTGTCTGTTTTTGTTGTATCGTTCTGTTTAACTCTGTCTTAAAGCAAAATTCTCCCAGGGTATATTAAAGCTTGAATTGAACTGAAATTATAGCATCTCAGTCCCTCTCCAATTATAGCTCTAATATGCCACTAAGTGATCACTGGAGGTGTGGAACTATTCAATAGCTGATGATGTATGGCAATTCTATAGGTATCTATCACGATCACTAACTGTAAAGGCATCACCAACGTTATTTCCTCCACTGATGAATCTCTACCACATGAGCTAAAAAACCTTTAACTCCCACTTTGAGGCCCAGAACACTAAACCCACTATCAAGGCTCCCAGTGAACCTGAGGACTGGTTCTCTCTTCAAGGATCTACAGTACATACCTCATGATCTACATCAGGTGTATAGATCCTTCAAGAGAGAAAAAACCTGTAAAGCAGCTGGCCCAAATGGTATCTCCAATTCTATCCTTGAAACCTGTGCAGGTCAGCTATCTCCTGTATGTACAGATATTTTTAACCTCTCCTGTCCCTGTCAGCTGTACCAGAGTGCTTCAAGAAAACCTCAATTTGCCACTGCCCAAGAAGACCATGTTAACTAGTTTGAATGACTATCGTCGAGTGGCACTCACTTCAATGGCCATGAAGTGCCTGGAAAGCCTAGTATTGTCTTATATAAATTCCACTATCCCAGAGTCCCTTGATCCACTTCAGTTTGCATACCACCAAATAGATCAGTAGATGATGCCATATCCCTAGGATTACAAAACTGCCCTAGAACATTTTTTTCAGGCGGGGCACCTATGTTAGGATGCTGTTTATAGATTACAGCTCGGCCTTCAACACAATTATTCCCACTAAGCTGGTCCCAAAACTCAGGCATCTGGGCTTATGCAACTCTATCTGCAACTGGATACTGGGCTTCTTGATGGGCAGACCTCAGGTGGTGAAAATTGGCAACACTATCTCTTCTAAAGTGATACTAAACACTAGAGCTCCCCAAGGCTGCTGTCTCAGTCCTAGACTGCACTCCTTGTTCACCTACGACTGTTCAGTCACTTATAGCAGGAACCACATTATTAAGTTTGCAGATGACACCACAATTATCAGGGTTATCAGCAACAACGAATCCACATATAGGGGTGAGGTGGAGCATCTTGCAAGTTAGTGCCTTGACATCAATCTGACCTTGAATGTCAATAAGACAAAAGAACACATTATGAACTTCAGGAGTCCCAGGTCAGATCCATGTCATGACCTCAGCACTGAAGGCATAGTAGTGAGAAACTGTCAGCTGCTTCAGACTCCTTGGTCTGCAGATCTCCAGCGATTTGGCTTGGTCTCACAACACTGTAGCCAGTCTTAAAAAGGTATAACAGTGCCTGCATTTTCTGCACTGTTTAAAGAAATTAAACAACAACTCATAAACTTTTGCTGCACCATTAAAATATGGACCACTAGTCTTAAGAACAGCTTCTACCCTACTGCAGTGCACATCCTTAATAGCCTAAGAACTCAATGCACCTCTGCACTATGCACTACCATGTGTTTTCTATTCACTACCATTTCTTGGTATTTATTGTTCTGATTGTTACTATTTATTACGTACAATTTTCTATTGCAATGTCTACATTGTGAGGTGTCATCTGCTATACTGTGTATGTCCTGAGAGATCAACACAAATAAGACTTCCAATGTACATGTAAATATGGCAACAAATTCCTCTATTCTAAGACGTATTGTCACGCCCTCTGCAGCCAGAGGGCGCTCCTTCTCTGTCCTGTCCCTAGTTTCCGGTCTGCTGTCCTTCCTGTCCCTCTCTTTCCCTTGGGCTATATATTTCCGGGTCTTG